GCGCAGCGAAAGGCCGAAGAGAGCATGATTGCGGCCAGCCACGCCAAAGCGAGTCAAAGGGCAGCTGAAACAAAACTTTCAACTGTTACAAAGGCCAGAGATGCGGCGTTTGCCCGTGTCGAAGACCTTCAGCGGGCATTGAGCCTTTACGAGCGTAGTGAAGGAAACGAAGCTCCTGGGCAGAAGGAAGCGAAGGAAATGAGAGAGACAGTGTCTGAATTGGAAAATGCCCTTGAAGCGAAGAACGTAGAACTGAATCGACTTGAAGGCGAAGCAGAATCACTCCGCGCTTCGTTGAAAGCCCGTCGAGACCCTCTCTCGCCAAGGACGAAGCCTCTCTCGTCGGGACCCGAAAGCGCAACTCATCAAGCGGTTGAAGTAAAGCTGCGGCATATGGCGGACTCAGCGCTGAGGAAACAAGCGCAGCTAGAGGTGTTGCGTTCAGAAAATAGAGCACTACAACATCAGCTAACGACTGAGAGGAAGCGGACACGGGAAGCACAAGCGATGGCGGCTGCGGCTTCATCCTCGGGGCAGTCAATCAGAGGCGGTTTTCGAGGAATCTTGGATACTGGAGCAGAGGAAGGGGAGCGAGTATATGGTGTCCGTGACGGTCCGCTAGCCCGTTTCCGAACGCCTCGAAACTGGCCCAGATGGGTTTCACGGGTCATTACGGGAATGGATCAGTTTTCGGCGCAAACACTCGCGTTCCTGCGGAAGGAGCCGCTGCTGCGGATTGCTATTCTAATCTACATTGTGGCGATACACATTTTTGTGTACAGCTTACTACACTGGCATGTGGACGCGGTATCTGGAGCTGCTGATATAACACATGAGCGGATTGCAACAGCGAAGGGAGGGAAAGTTGGTCTAGACCGGACATAGACGGATTGCGGCTATGTGTACATTAGACTGCTGGAGGCAACGAATGGACTTTCTGTGAGGCTGATAGGATGTGTTCTTGAGTGCAAAACGATACTGAATACGTGAAGATAGTATTGCAATAGATAGTTTTGCTCATGAATTACTTTTCCGAGCTCCTTAGCAGCGCGAAGACACTGGATTAAGTCTCCGCACTGACTCTGGGTCGGGAAAAACTTAAGGAGATAGATACGTCTACACAAAATGAGAAGCAGCAGTAATGTAGAATCGAATAGCAGTCTTCGGGTATGACAAATGTAAACGGAAGGGTAAGAGGCCTCTGTACAAATGCTGGCGGTTTAGATAAGAGTGAACAAGGTTGAGATAATCATTTCGATTGATGGACGTATTTGAGATACTGTTTCTTGCTCATCCTCGCCAGTTTCTTGGGGTTTGTAATGACGACCTTTTGCGTGCTTCTTCGCTCGTTCTCCTCCTTTAGTTTCCTCTTGTCAGCTCTCCGCTTCCGTTCGGCTTGCTTTGAGTTGGCATCAGCTTCCTTGGCAGCCTTGACGATGCGAAGCAAAGCGGCACGATCCTGGCGGCGCTTATTCTTCATTTCGAGGGAGATCTTAAGACTAGCCGTGCGGCGTTGGGCAGAAGCTCTCCTTGTCTTCGGTTTCTTCCATGGGCGATGGCCTTTCGTGCTCGGGACGAGGGCGATCTGCGGCTTGGTGGGGTTGGGAGCATCGGTGGGGGCCGAGGGCCGGGCGGAGGGAGAGGAGTCGACGTCCATGAGCACGTGTGTATGTGAGACGAGGGTATGTGAGACGGGGGTTTGTGAGACGGGGGTTGTCTGGATGCAAGTGGCGGGGGGGGGGTGGGGGGGGCTAGTTGCAGTTGGATTGATATGGGGAGGGGAGGGGGTGGTCAGGGAAGAGGCTACAGGCGGTACGTAGCAGGTGGGAGACGGGGGTGCGTATGAAGGTAGGTGAAAAAGAAGGAAGAAAATAGGCGAAATTGGGTGTTTTGGGGACGACGACGGCGACGAGACGGGCGCTGGGGGCCGTCCCCCTCGGCAGACGGTCGTCTGGGGCTTGGCCTTAAATTATCTTACGCTCTCCCTATTGGCCTTAACTTTCTGTACGCTCTTCCTATTGGCCCCCAGTCATGTCACACGCTGTGATGGGCGTTTCAAGAAGCTGAATCTCACACCCGAAGGAACATATCAAGTGCAGGCAACCAGTCGCCGCCTCAACTGCCCCCGGCCCCCCTACCCCCCCCGCGCGGCTGCCCGTAGCCTTCCATGCCTGCACGCTCTTCCACACACTCCACTCGGCAGTTCCGCATCGTCATTCTCTCAAACATCCTCTGTCCTCATCGTCTATATCGTTTAACTCCCCTCGTCCCCCCTCCCCCGGTGCACCCCACGCTGTCATGGCCGGTGACCAGCCGCCTCCCCCAGTTTCCACCAAATTTTCTCACCCGCACCGCCCCCCTCGACCCCACCGTCGCCGACCCCCCCAATTACCCCTCCGCCCCCAGCCCCCCGCCGACCGCCCTTACGTCCCTCCCTTCCGACGAGCGAGGCTCAAAGCCTCGCATTTTCCCCGGAAAGACATGGCCCCCGGTTCCGAGCCGCGCCAACGCGACGACTGGAATCGTCTTGTCAAAACCATTCATGGAGATATTAACAGAGTCAGCGAAGACAACATCTCCGAAATCGCAAAGTCCTTGCTTCGTGTAAATATCTTCCGCGCTAGAGGCATCCTCTGCAAAACCTTACTCCGCGTCCAACTCGGGTCCCCACCGCTAGCCCCCATCTTGGCAAGTTTGATTTCCGTCCTGAACACCCGCGTCCCAGCCGTCATCGACCTCCTAGTTTCCCGCCTCATCGCACAGCTGGGCAATGCCTACGACGTCCAAGACCGCTCCCTTTGCTTTGCCACGGCCAAGTTCATGGCCGCCCTGTGCAATCACCAAGTCATTTCAGATCTTCCCGTCTTCGAGTTTCTCCGCGTATGTCTGCTGGACCGTACGGATGGCTCTGTCGAGCTCGCGGTTAGTATGCTGGACGAGTGCGCCCCGTTTCTATCGGACCGCAGCCCAAAGCTATCCGAGGACGGTTTCGATCGCTTGCGCGAGGTTTTACATGACGGCGATGTCAGCACACGCACACAGGAGATGATTCGCAGGCTCATGACCAGGCGCAGAAAGAATTTTGCAGGCCAAGATACCCTTGACCCGAGATTCGACTTGGTCCATGAAGCCGACATTATTACACATGACGTCTCTCTGAACGACGACACTCGCTTGGAACTGCAATGCGACGCATTCCTTTTTGACAAGGTCTACGTCGAAAATGAACGCCAATACGAGGAAATCAAGAGAGATATCTTAGGCGTAGAAGCCGACCGAAGTTTGAGCCGGCCCTCCGATGATAACAGCTCCTTCACAAATGAAAAGGGTGATGTTGTGGAAGAGGAATTGGGCAAATCCAAGGGCGTCGAGAAAACGACGGATATGACGGATGCCGCGTTAAGGGAATTCCGCCGCACCGTGTATTTGGTCCTCACTTCAGGGATCACGTCAGAAGAATGGGCTCACAAACTTGTTCGTCTCATGAGGGATAATCAGGGGAGAAAGCGAGATCTTTGCGAAATGATCGTCGAGTACTGCAGTCGAGAAAAGACTTTTTCTCGTTCAATAGGGCTCTTGGGAGAACGTCTTTGTAGTTTAGAGAGGAGTTATGTTTCAGGTTTCGAATGGACGTTTGCCAAGCATTACGCCGGGATTCATCGCCACGGTGAACGGGAAATAAGACTCATGGCAACTTTTTATGGCTTTATGCTCGCATCCAATGCCTTGCCGTGGAATGTCTTTGGGGTCGTTCGTCTCGTTGCTGCCGAGACAACTACGTCGAGTCGCGTTTTCCTGAAGCACCTCTTTCAAGAGATATACTACACTTTGTCCTCGAGTCAAATGATGGAGCTCTTCAAGTCACCAGAACGTGCCGAAAGTTTAAAGGGCCTTTTCCCGTCAGATACTGTTGCGAACGCACAGTACGCAATCAACTTTTTTGCGAATATAGGAATGGGATTCCTAACAAGAGATCTTCGAGAGTGGCTCAAGAACAATCCGCGTGATAGCGCTGCCCTCGCACATGATGGCAGTGATTCAGAGGATGGTAATACTTCCGAATCTTCATTGGTATCATCATCGTCTTCATCCGTTCTCACTTCGGACGCAGAGGATCTAGCGAACGACAAGCCCCTTGCAAGTGGCAGCAACAGCTTTCGGTCACATGATGAACACCCGTCAGAATCAGGCCCGAGCTGCGATGGGCAGAGGAAAAGGACACGATATGAAGATGGAGCCCTGGAAGAGGAAGCGAGAAAGAAAGATCGTTTTTACGAAAACGGCTCCATCGGCAGTGGTCGAGAGGATGGGGAAGCATCGCGGTTTCGGAGGCGTTCTCCTGAGGCTGACGATTCCGAACCGTCGTGGAAAACGAGCGCGGGACGTGATCGCGAAAAGGAGAGGTCAGCACGGCGCCGGAGGGAGCGTGAGTATTCACCTGACGAAGACTCCTACTCCTCAAGTCGGTATCGGCAGAGGCAGGACTACAAGCGACGAAGAGCGGAGAATCAGTATGATTATCATCAGTATGCACGATCGAGGTCTCCTACGCGTTACTCACACCGCAGGTTTTCCAGGGAGCGGCGCACAGCAGAGCCGCGTTATTAACCTAGAAAGTACCGTTCCTGACCGCCTCTGAATGTGAGAGTGACTCGCGATGCGGTCCCGTTCAAACAGCAAAAGCAAGACGGATGTGTGGGGGGTGAGAAACAGGTATCAGAGTGCGGAAAGCAAGACCGTTCCGCGAGAAATTTTGATGTGCATGAAGCAAGGTCAATCCTGCTGTGCAGATGCAGCGTGTGCAAATATCAGGTTGTGATATTTTTTCGTGATTACTGGACGAGGACCTTGACTGGGCCCGTAGGGCATTTATTTTACTGACCACGGATAGGAAGCATCCTTTGTGGTTGTTCAGGGTGTCATTGTCGAGACCCCTGAATGATTCCTGCATATGCGAAATAGCATCGGCCGCCACCGTGTCGTCTCCGACTAGCTGGAGTTGTCAAGGTAGGCCCTCTCTCGTGTGTGATTATTCCACTTGCCGGCGAGGAGCACAAACTCGGGAAGCAACGCGTGTATCTCGGGTAGCATAGCATTTCTAACAAAAACCTAACTGCAAGTTGCAGCTCACGAGTCCATCGCGATGGGGTAGGTCGATCCTGACAGCCTTACCTGAGAGACGTTAGCCCAAGAACTTGCCGTCTGACAACTACGGCCAGTTCCTCTATGCTCTGCGGAGTATTAGTCAACGGTAGCAGGCCTGACACATAATGACAGCAGCGGTGCGGCGCTGCCATCATCGCTGTACCCACTCGTTTCAGCATTAATCGCAATACAGAGTCGATGCACAATCTTTCTGACCTTCGGTTATGACTTTTCGTTCTCCAACGTGGAACAAAACCGACTGCCCAGGTGGGTTGATTGACTCATGAAGCTGTATCTTCGCAAATATATTTGACGCTGACCTGTCGTAATAGACGGGAGCGGATAAGATACTATTCGTACTAATGCGGTACTGGGGTAGTGGGTTTGTTTTACACCAACCATCAGGTTCCAGATGGACAGCTTGCTATAAACTTGGTCGCACGAAGGCAGGAATGCGCACGTGGACCTGAGGATTTTGAGGCGGTCCCACTTTGGATGATTCCAGTGGCTTTAACACGGCCTTAACGGTCAATGAGCTACGATAAGGACTTTTTCAACTGCGTGCCACAATAAATAAACGGGGCATCTCAGACTTGATCCTGCATTTCATATATTAAAGGCATCATGGCTACCCGCGGGCCATGAGCAGTAATCTTACCGCCCCTCATTCTAAACATAAATAATTTTCAAGAAGGCCGCAGAGGTCAGTATATTTCGTACGGACAGACATCATTCTTTGACAGCAATCTCACATTGCCGTAGCAAAATAGAAAAACACTTACACAATAATAGTGTCTGCCACATCCAATTCCTCTAAAAGGTGAGTGACCCTGCACAAAATAGGACGCAAAATAGGAAAACACTAAAAGTCAGATGCTTGCCACATGATCCCACAGCGAGCACTATCTTCGCATGTAGCAAGGACTATCAACATTAATGTATGGCAATATTAAAAGACACCGGAACACCATAAGAAAGGTAGAGTCGGCAACACGATGCCTTGAGTACTTATCTAGCATCCATTTTGAGCCGACAACCGGAGGTATGTCCCATGCTAGACGAAACATCCCCAGGCGGCCTTCGAAAGATGCAGAACTGCAAATAAAGATGATATAACATACCATAACGCAGCAATGGATCTTTCCGAAACCACACGACGAACCCTCGCCACCAACTCCGCCCTATTGACTGGGTCCATGCTCGCAGTGGCCTCGTCGAACAGCATAGTAGTGGGGCGCATCGCCAGTGCGGACGCGACGACCGCCCTCTGCCGCTGGCCACCACTGAGGCGATGCGCTGAGAGGCGCATATATTTTTCTGGCGGAGACAATCCGACCGCCTCCATCGCCTCGATGACGCTGTCCCGAATTTCGTCGACGGGCATGTCCGGGCGCTTCGGCACGGATGCGGCGATGTCAGTGGCGACCGACGGGAACAGCATCTGGACGTCTGGGTTTTGGTGCACAAAGGCGCATGGAGTCGACAGCTGCACAGACCCATAGGAGGGGATGAGCAGGCCGCGGACGACGCGCAGTAGCGTGGACTTGCCGCAACCATTGGGGCCCACCAGCATGGCTAGCTCGCCGGGCGCGACGCGCAGCGAGACTTTGTCCAGGGCTACCCGCCCGCTTTTCCACCAGAAGCTGACATTGTCGACAGCGATTGCCGGGTTAGATCGGGACGCGTTTGCGGTGCAGGAAAAGTTGACACGCGGCCTCTTCGGGGAAAGATTGCGGCGATGCGGAAGGGTGGCGCGGCATGGTGTTCCCGGAACGTGTGTGAAGGCTGGGTACATCAGCTGGGGCGAGGCGGGTACAGTGCAATGACAACGGCCGCTTTCATACGCCTTGCTTTCGTCGAGAGGCCGGCTGGACAGTAGGATCAAGAGAACGCCGACGGCGCCTAGATAGTATCTAGTAGATACGGATTACGGTAAGCTAAAGCTCGGATCAATCGGCTCAACGGTTCGCTTACAGTTCAATAGTGCGCGGCGCCCTGTTTGCCGCCAAAAGTGTTTCACAAAATAAGGCCCATACCTGTTGACAAGTATGGGCCTTATTGCTGTTCTCTTGACATCAAGAGAACAGCAACGACCCGCCGCTACCCATCAAACTGGTGTGGGAGACTCCCGAAGATATCCAAGCAGGGAGTCGATACCGCAACCGTTCTCCCACTCTTCCAAACCGCCATTCTAACCCCAGACCTCGGGCTGCAGACCGAGAGAGGAAATCTCCTCTTTCCGGGGTACATGGCCGAACCCCCTGCCGCCAACCATGAATCGCTATGTCATTGCCCCGAAGGTAGTGAAGCTCGCCCTGGACCCTGTCTTAACCGCCCAATTCCGCACCCTCGACGCCTCTCTCCGCTGGCGCACGCTCACCACCAACCTTGAAAGCTGCGAATCACCGCCCTACCTCTACTTCCGTGTCAGCTTGCAGCTCAAGGCGGGCAACACAACCTACGCCGGCTTCGCCACGGGCGCCCCGTTTATGCTCACACGCGACAAAAATGTCTCCAAGCGCGCCTTCTTCCTGCGCCACTGGGTGCGCTCGGCCCCTGAACACGAAAACACAAAGGCCCCTCTCGTCGTTCTTCCGCACATGGCCTTGGCCGCCGAGCACGAGGATGTCCTGCTCATCCGCGTCAACATCGACCGCCCGCTCGCCTCGGAGGATATCTTCAAGTCCATTCCGTTCGCCACATGGATGTTCCAGGTCGTCCAGGTCGATGCCGTCATCCAGGAATTCCCGGGCATCCGCTTTGCTTTCGCTATCGAACGCACAGTCACCACCGAGGAACGCGAACTCGTCACCGTGAGGAAGGGGCTCCCAATGACCCCGCAGCAACTCAAGGCAGCAAACTCGGTGCTTCCCAGACCGAGTTCGATCCCATCGCCGCAGACCCATGCCGCGGTGCGCCAAACGGCAGGGCATCCCATGCAACCCAGCAGACAACACTCCTCGTATTCGCCCGTCACCCCCAGGCCCCCCGCAGCGGCCTATCAACCCAACCCGTATGCATACTCATCCGGGCGCTCTCTTGGGCTTCAAATGCGGCAGAATGTGTCCCCGCGAGTGCCGTATCATACGCAGCATCAGCCTGTCAAGCTCACGTCCAGGGCGCAAGGCAGGTCAGGGTCGATGGCCACAGGTGGAACTGGCACGCAGTCGAATGCTGACAACCTGAGACCGGTTTTGCATCCATACCTGAGGCTTTGGGAGGACCGTGATTTGGACGATCCGTATGAACCGATTTTTGTGACAGAAGATGACGAATTCGATAGAAAAGCGAGGAAATCCTGGCTAGTGGAAGACAAGGCTCCGTATGCAGAGCAGTTTGAATATCAGAACCTGTTCGGAGTGCCGAGTTCAGATTATCCCATGTACTTCTTCAAAGGTCCGTCGTTGTCCAACGTTGACGGGGAACCAGATATTGAGGTCGTTGTGCATCGGAAGCAGCAAGTGAAAGTAGAAACTTCAGAAGTCTCTGGTGCTTCGGAAGAGATCAATTCGCATGCCCGAATCGGTGGTTCCGACACTTACTCGTCAGCCGTCCTCGAGGCTGCACAGTACAACTCGATTTTGAGGCGGGATCGGACTGAGTTAAGAAAATGGTTGGTCGAAGACGTCCAGAGGGAAGGCGAAGAAAGCGAACAAGAGGAAGACGAAGAAGATGGTGATGGTGATTACTCTGACTGATGGTGCACGGCGCGTGCGTGTTGTGGCATACTATTTATTTTGTCATCCCCTCACCCCGTTCTCTCAGACTAGTGTGTACCGGAGAAAAGGAGGACGTCCGACGGATCAGTATCCACAACCTCACTGACGAGGGCTCGTAGTTCTCGGACGGTTTCATCAAATATTTTCCCTCCGATGTCAGCGCTTGCGTTTGCAGCATCCCCAAGCGCTCCGGAAGTGGAGATATCCTCTGAACGCCATCCAAAGGAAACGATGTCTCCGTGTGGTTGTAAGGCCCCTGTGAATTCGCGTCTTCTGCGAAAGTTTTTCGTCTCGCTGGTCTTGACGAGATCGGGGAACAAGTGCATCATGACTGCGGTTTCAACAAACCCACCATGTATGCCGTACGGCATTTCATCGTGGTATTTTTCCTTTTGTGTTTCGACTCTTCTCCAGGCTAGCGCAAGCATCCGTTGCGCGTTGAAGGACACGACGAGACTATTATGTCGAAACCTGGCGTGCCGGATTGTAATTTCAACATTTTGGGTCTGCCCGCCATGCGCATTGACGATGATAATTTTTTTCGACCCGGAAGCCACGAGCCCTGCTATGACATCGCCCCAGAACGCGTTGAGTGTGTCATCCTGTATTGGGATAGTACCAGGCAGGTTTGCATGCTCAAAGCTCGCCCCAAAAGGAGTTGCTGGAAGGACGCTGACGCCGTCGATACCCTGGACGGCATTTCGGGTGATGGCTTCGGCGAGCAACAAGTCTGTGCCGAAGGGGAGATGCGGACCGTGGTTTTCAATGGACCCGACTGGAAAGACGGATAGCTTTGTTTCGGCCAGGGTGGATGGATGCAGATGTGACCATAACTGAGGCCTGGCAGTTCTGTGGGGCGATGCGCAGACGTGCTGAGAGGCGGAACAAGTGATGTGGTGGAGGAGCATGAAGCAGTAGAGAAGCAAGATGGTTGGGCGGAGTCTGATCGGGGGCATCCGTTGTATCGGGAAAGAGAGGGATGGACATTTGCCGGAGGGAATTGTGAAGGATGCAAAGACTCTAGAAAGAGAACGTAGATAGTTCACGTTAAAGCCTGAGCCAACAGACATGAGGTGCGCTCTACTGCTTGCTATCCGCTTGTGTTTGGGAATAGCGGGAGCCTATTAACTTCACTACTGCAGCCAAAACGAGTAGACTGGAAATCTCGAGCGCGGAGATACAGCAGGGATTGCGGGCGACGATACAGCCAATCACGGCGTACTCGAAGGTGTTCGACTGCCCAAGCATAAAATTACACAGAAATTCCATGATCCAGCGGCGGCGGCGTAAGTTGTAAACCTCCGTTTCTCCCCTGGTCGCCACCATTAGCCTGAGGGATAATTTCGCGCGCTCCTATTGTCGACCTCTTCTTCCCCTGAGCTTCATTAACAACCGTCCCATGGCGAAAGACAGCCGAAAACTGAAGAAGAAGCGAAGGGTATCCTTCAGCCTTCCTGAAGCCGAAGAAAAACATGAAGACTCCCCCAAAGTCCAAGTTTCTATTCACGACGAAGCCTCTTACGATGACGAAGTGGAGACGATGGATGTTGAAGGCAGCAACGGACTAGCAAAAACAGATAGCTCTGATGAAAGCTCTGACGAAGCCGCGTCGCACGAGTCGGAGGCCGAGTCCGATGCCGAGATGACCGCTCCCCGCGAAGCAAACGGGCGACCGAAACAATCCGAATCTGACTCCGAGTCTGCCTCCGATTCTGACGATTGCGCGTCCAATTCTGACGAGAACGTGTCCAGCTCAGACTCAGCAGATGAAAGCACGTCCGAAGATGAAAACGACGAGGCAGACACTCCGCAAAATGACCCCGAGGCGGGGCAGGCTCCCCCCTCAGTGTCTTCTTTCGGTGAGATGTCTTTGGACCCGCGCGTGGAGCGTGCAATCGAGCGCGTGGGCTGGCGCAAGCCGACACCGGTGCAATCAGCTGTCGTGCCGGCTGCGCTCTCGGGGCGGGACGTGTTGGTCAGCGCGCCGACTGGCTCGGGCAAGACCGGCGCGTACGCGATTCCGATCGTGCAGCATATCTGTAGGGCGAAGAGCTTAGAACGGTCCGGAACGAAGGTCGTTGTGTTGGTGCCCACGAGGGAACTTGTGCACCAGGTGACCGGGGTGCTCAAGGCGCTCTGCAGGTACATCGGGGGTGTGCAGGTCGCAGCGGTTATGAGTCGGAAAAAAGGGAATACGAAGAAGAATCAGGGGGCCAAAGGAGGTCCGGCGAAGCAGGCGCACGGCCAACAAGCTAGTGAGGCACTGACTTTCACTCAATCCGCAGATATTATGGTCGGTACGCCTGCATCTATTGTGAATGCAGCTGGTACGGAACAGAAGAGCGCGCTGAGCGAAGTGCAGTTCGTGGTCGTGGATGAAGCGGACCTAGTGCTCAGCTACGGCTACGAGAGTGACGCCAAAGCGGCGCTGGCGAAAATCCCGCCGACTGCACAATCAATGTTGCTGAGTGCTACGCTTGAAGCGGATGGTATGGCCAGCTTTCGGAAAGTCGTTCTTCGTCGTCCGCTGACCATTAAGGTGACCACGGACGGCGACATGAAAGATGGAGATCCCACAGGAGCTTCGCACTATTTCGCGCGCCTCAAGAACCACAAGGACCGCTACCTCGTCGCATACGCTATGCTGCGGTTGAACGTCGTATGTGGAAAAGTACTGTTGTTTGTGAATCATGTCAACTCTGCGTTTCGGCTCAAGCTGTTCTTAGATCAGTTCAAAGTGAAGAGTGCAGTCCTCAATTCCGAGCTTCCTGCCAACTCAAGGATGCACTGCGTCTCGCAGTTCAACGCCGGTGTTTTTGATATTCTGATCGCGACGGACGAGTCGAAGGACGATGAGGCATTGGTCGGGAAAAAAAAGAAAAGTGGCTCGAAAAAGACAGATTGCAAGAAGCGCAAGGTCGATGCGGACGAGGAATTTGGATTGTCACGCGGTGTCGACTTTCAAGATGTCGCTGCTGTTTTCAACTTTGATGTCCCGGAAACGGTCGCTAGCTACACACACCGTGCTGGTCGAACGGCTCGGGCTGGGAGGTCTGGCACGGTGATGTCCCTAGTATGTTCAGACAAGGACCAGAGCCGCGTTGCGGAAATGGGGCGAGAGCTTGGGGTGCATATCGGACCGCTCGCGTTCCGAATGGACCAAATCGAAGCGTTCCGGTATCGCGTAGAGGACTGTCTTCGTATGGTTACGGATGCCGCTGTGAATGGAGCGCGCTTGGCAGACGTACAGCGGGAAATTGTGAACTCTGAACATCTGCAAGACTACTTTGAAGACAATCCTCAAGACCTTGATGCACTGCGGCACACTCTGAGTCTAGCTAAAAACATCCCTGAGCATCTTGCGCACATTCCGTCATACTTGCTACCAGTGGCGCTCCGAGGCAGCGTGACGAAGGACCCACGCGGGTCCAAGTTTCGAACGAAGAGGAAGAGAGGTCCATCGAAACGGTCACTGAAGAAGAAGAGCGCTGGGGATCCCTTGAAGACGTTTTCGAACAAGGGGCTAGCGGGAAGTTCTCGTCAGCGGTTCCAAGAAAGACACGGAATTAAGAAGAGGCAAAAGAGCAACCCGGGACAGATGATGAAGAAGCGGAGACGAGTATATTGACGAAATAGAGGTGTGTGAGGACTAGATATGGAGTGTGTTCAAGTTTAGTTATGCGCCTCTCGCTGAGGTATTGTTTTGTGTTTGTGTAGAAGTGAGAGTGTTTGTAAAGAACCGAGGCAACGTTGGACGCGAGACCACCGACTAGTTGGATGTTGTGGCTTTGGTTGGCAAACTTGGTCAAGTGTAGCTCGCCCCCGATCATGTGGTAAAAGAAGGACACCATGCGTGGTCACGAAGCGTAAGCAGACAGCGACTCGAAGAAAAAATTTGAGAGGTGGGTGGATGTGCGCACGGCAGATACAGGTAGGGTTCGACAGAAGGGGCCGAATAGGTAAATTGGAGTGCTCCATTCACAGTTTAGTTTGAGATAAAATAGATTAGGTGAAGATGGTTGAGCAAAAGCGGGCACAGAGTTGGCAGGGTCAGGCATTCGGTACGCGATTCGGGAGGTTTTTCAACTTGCGCGAGTAGTGCAACCACTGGCCAAACAGGGTGCTGTTGAAGCAAGTAGCGACACAAATGCCGGCAAACATGAGGGGGTCGCGGACCTGGGCGATAGTGGTAAAAATCCTGGCGACGTTGCCCAGCAACTGGAGGCCCAGCGTGACCGGGCTGAGCTCGCCGGTGCTCTTACGTCTCCAATTGAGCAAGATCTGTGGGACCCTGGCCAGGTTAAGAATCGGGATGGAGCAGACCTGCAGCGCCATGAGGACGGACATGGGCACGAGCTTCGAGTAGAGCAGGATGAGCGAGGTGGCGTAGAGCAGGGCGCAGGCGACGGCGGGGCCGCGCGGCAGGCCCTGGAAGTGGACGATGAGGCCCATGAGCAGGACGTTCTGGAACATGATGAAGACCGACTCGCCGTACGTCGCGAAGGGGAATGCGCGGCGCGCAAAGTAGACGGCCGAGAAGGTGGTGCCCACGGTCTCCAGCGCGTACATCAGGACCGAGATGCCGGCGGCGGAGCGGCGGCGCACGACGCGGATGACCTGCGGGATCTTGTACAGCACGCTGCCGATGAGGACGCACACGCCCACGATGGTCGACAGGAGCGTCAGCAGCGAGCGCGTCGGCGGCGGCGCGAGCGTTGGCGGCGGCGGCGCGAGCGTTGGCGGCGGCGTGGGCGGTGGCGGCGCGGCTGCAGAGCAGGCGGGCGCGGTGGCGCGCGAGGGGGGGTGCGAGGGGCGCCGCGAGGGGAGGCGCCGCAAACGCGGACGGGGCGGCGGGCGCAGACGTGAAAGGGAGGGGGCGCGGCAGCGGT